TTACATGTACAGCAGATCTTGTCCTTTGGAGTAGAAAAACTTTACCCGATACACACTTTACAACAAATTTAATAATCTACACTTATCATAATCTTCATATTAGTAGATAACACAATTCAGAGATACAGTAATCTACAAGCTAGAAAGATGGCTAAGAGCTACATAGCTAAGATTTTTATAACTTTAGTCCAACACTTTAGTTAACAACTAATAACTTTATACTTCTGAGAGATGATTCAGAGTTTTGAGAATTCAGTATACCCAAAAACTGCACTAGTGTTTGTAATTGACAGTAATCTGTAATCATAGCACAGTTGTTAAGTTCTGTTTAGTGCTAGACGGTTTACATGACCTTGACTTATCAAATTAACAAAAAATGTTCAGTTAAGTAATTTCGTAACTCAGGCTTTTGTTAGGGTTTATACTTACAGGAATCTTACAAAGAACAAACCTAAACATCTAGATTTAAACAACAGTGAACTTTGATTAATTGTTAAGGCAGGGGCGTCATTTTTTGGGGGGGGGGGGGCATTTACGTTCTTACCATCTTCTAATGAGTTCACATTGATGTGACTAAATTATTTTATTACAGAAAATTCGAGTTTATGTAAAAATTGTAGATCAAAGTATGTTTTTACTTAGGCCTACATGATAAAATATACAGCAGTATGAAAAAAGTAAAAAAAAATTAAACATGAAATAGTACCAGTTAACCTAAATGAAATACAGTATGCCTACAGTGCATAAGAACCACAAAACATGACAAAAACATGTACAACATGTGAATCATGTGTGTGTGATAATGTACAAAACATTCATGCTAGTGCACATTTAAGGAGATACAACGGCGCTCGTATGGTCAAGACGTTGGTTACTAAAAAGAAAAAAACTTCATAATAGTTTCTCTGTTCACATTTGAATCTACTGCTTTGTATTTTTCAAAAGTAAGTCTTTTTTCTTATCACAGTCACTATATTCCTTACTCTTGACCCTCCATAAATTAAGGACACTTCTGGACAGTTCGACGAATTCAACAATAAAATCACGGGAACATTGGCGAAAATCTGCGATCGTAATTAAAAAACACACTTATACCTCTGACAGCAGGTGAAGACAACACTGCATACTGGGGTTTAGAGCGTGAAGACGGAGTTGAAACGGATGACAGTGTCCACACGCAACGAATTGTCTGAAAACGTTGTCAAAACTATGCTCTCAGCAATAGTTTTATCGCTCCGTCTTTCGTCTCCGCGCAGTTCTCAAAAAAGCACAGTTTTGCGGTACACACGCAACGATTTGACTGCAACGATTTACTTGCGCAGGTAAAACGTACGGTAAATCCTTGCGTGTAGACCGGCCTTTACAATATCAAACATGTTGTTACACGTGTTCCAAACGAGTTCCAAACTAGAATGTCAGGTGTTTAACTGACAATAAAATTAAGTAACTTATTGTTTGCAACACAATACTGTATGAGGAACATGGTGGAAGGAAAATACATTTTTTTCATTCCACCATTTAAAAGGAATTATTTTTCCTATATGTTAATACCCCGCCGCAGCAAACCTGCAAACTATAATTTCTCCACACAGAATTCCTCCTAGGCTAAGCCTATTCTATATTTAATAACAGAACGATATAAAACTAACAAAGGTATTTTATTGAAACAAAATTAACATGTAACAAAATTAAAAAGGCTACAATGAAAAGGACTGACACTGAAATGTGGGCCTGCAATCAAGTGGAAGATTGAAATTTAGGCCTGTTAGGTTCAAATTTATAATAGTATAATTTAAATGTGCTCCATCTCAGGGTAGGGTGTGTCGTGCTGGCTTGAATTCAAAGATTGGATGAATTAAATGTCCAAATAATTAAAGTGTTTAACATACAGCATTCCAACAATGAAAAAATGTTGATGTTGTCCAATAGGTAAGTGCAAATGTGCACAGAATTTACTAATAAGTGGGTTTAAAATAAAAGTTTGTACTTAAAAAATTATAGTAGTAGTTGAAATTAAGTCCTCTTGAGGTTAACTTGAATCAATTATCAATTAGATTTTCTTGATGAGATTAATTAAAATCGGATGAAATCTGGGCTTCTAGGTAATTTCAGTTATGGCTTCCTTCTCTCTTCAGAGTCACTATGTGAATGTTCACACGAGTTTATTGTTGAACACATGGTATGTTGAAGCTGGTTGAACACTGCTCGATTGAATTTAGATTCCTTAATGACTAATTTTGAATTATATTATATGAAGTTTTGATATATTGCAATTCTCTTCAAAGTTGTGAACTTTGTACAAAAAAATATATGCTATGGATATTATTCATGGTTTATTACTGAACATATACTAAGGGAATTAAATAAATAAGTTAAATCGATATTAGGCCTGCACTATCATTCTAGATCAAGGATGACTTTCTGAGGAGTGATTAATGACAAAGAAATTATAAGTGGTGTAGTAACAAAATTAAACTATTTTAAGAAACCTAATACTAAATAATAAATGTATGACATGGAATATTACAAGACTAAGCAAATGCGTAGGATTAGATTTTGGCTTAAATATTTCCTCAAACATGTCTGATTGAGAAGTTATTATCGATTCAGAGGCAAAACCAGTTATAAAATAAGTATTCGTTTATCTGGTTTTCTACAGGGAAAGAAGCTTCATGACATAACTTATCTATGTTAATAATTTTAGCCTTGACCCATGACTTAACATGTCCTCGAACCTGTGGCACGGACCAAGAACACAAACACGAACCAGAACCAGAACCAGACCGGTTTGGTGGTCAAACACCACGTGACCTGATCACGTGATCTTCTGGACACGACTACTCTCAACAGGTCACAGGAATATCGTCATCCTCAGCTGTAGGCCCTAACAAACCCATTTTACCATAAAAAGTTGAACGAATTGGAAAAAATTAAATGATTGGTTAACATGTTTAAATTGTACTTAAAATATTTCCTTCTTGTTGAAGAATAATCTCTTATTTTGCTTTTTGGACGTCAAGGAACCAAATAATGTTTTTTATAGAAAACCCTTGATGAATTTTTAAACTGAAATCTAGAATTAGACATTATTTTATGGTTTAAAGTAATGCTCGCTTAAGATTCGAATCAGAATATTACCTAGAATGTCCATAGATATAGATGTAGAATCTATACAGATTCTATACAGAATATTTATACAGATATACCTATAGAATCTATAATATAATAAATCTATAATCTAGTGCTCCTGTTGCTTGAATTTGACAATATCGGATTTAAAAATATCCACCGAAATGTAGCCTATTACAATCGATAAAAATATCTGTAGTTGCATGTTGTTTATGGTTTTTGTTCAGTAGGCTTGACTAATTGAAGCCTTAATTATTCACAGCCCTTGGGCTGCTGCTTGTTAACAAAATAAAAAACTGTGTGACATTTTTCACTTGGGCGGCATGATGGATTGATCTAAAAATAAGTGGTTATACCATTGTCTTAAGCTTTCTTATATTATTCATTTTCAATATTATTGTTATATCGTTATACAGCATTATAGATCTATACAGAACCCAATAAAGTAGGCCTACTCTCTGGTGAGATGGTCCTGAACTTCGTCTATTTTCTTGGCTTAAAATTTGTTTCATTACATGGGAAGCCTTAAATTCTTTGTACAGTAACACCATAGACAAAAAGAATTAAATATAGACCGTCAGCCATGCTGCGATTAGCAGAGATACTGGCGTCCACCGCTGGGAGCGCCTTGTAGTTGCGGCGTACTCACTACGTAACTACACGGCGCTTACAGCGCAGGACGCCAGAACGGTTTATAATTAATTGTTTTTGTTGGTACAACTAAATCTACAGTTCTACTGGACCTATATTAATAATGAATGGATCGTTGCAAAGCTCACTCCCTGTAGATTTTCAAATAATTAATATGCAAAATTGATTTATGCTGAAAAATAAAAAAAAAACTTGTTCCATTAGAATTGCATTGAAAACAAGGGATTTTCACATTTCTTATTTGGAGACAACTTTTGTCTGACTTAACTGAGTATTTTTAAGAAATGCGTAATGATTTTTTGTAAGATTATTCTCTTTCAGAATATCACCTTCCAATATTAGGTCGATTTCCTCAGCATTTTAAAGTTATTTGCAAAAAAGCTAAGCAACCTCCGAATTTATTGATGGTGAAAAAATACTGAGTTAACTAATTTTTTGTTAAACTTTGAACAACTAAATCCACAGTTCCATTGGATTGATTGTATTAGTTAATAGGTCAATGGGAAGCTTCATCATTGTAGATTTGCAAATAATTATTTAAGTTTGATTTTTTAGATTTATGGAAATTGAGTTTCATTACAACTTTTAGAATTTGTTCAAAACAATTTCATTCTTGAAAATAAATAAATACATTTATTTTAGGATGTAGGGTACTTTACATGCGCATATGTGCATATGTACTGTTTTTCTAGAGAAAGTTGGACTCTGTTTCTAGTAATATCAAAAATGCTTTTATACGAGGCCCCGTCTAATCGAAAATTGACTGAATCAAAATTTTCCTACTTACGCAAGCTACTGTTACATCTTTAAGTAGTGACAGTTAAAGTAGTTTTGAAAACACTATAATTTATCATTTGACAGTATTTCAGTTTCTCTGGTAATACAACAAAGTTTGAGTAGACAATAATTTATCATTATCATTATTCATTGAGAAAGCAATGCCACTTCGGTGAGTGATCTGTGTAGATTTGTCAGTGTCTAAGACAAAAGATTCTTTATCCAGGAGTAACCACTTATTATAAGGCCAATAATCAAGAACATCTGGGCCCAGTTTGGAACCATCAGCAATCTACTCGATGTTTTCAAGATAGAACAGAACCGGCAACCTTTCGACTATCAAGCGAGCGCTGTAACTTCTCAGCCGGTAGTTATTTCAGCTGTCTCCAAAAGCAATTTAAGGTTTACTAAATTAGGCAACACATCCAATAATCATACGTAAATATCTTAAACAAATAATTTATTGACCTAAACACTAAAATACTTAGATAGTAATGTACAATGTGTCGATTTTCTTGTTGGAATCCGGCCTTTTCGATGGTCTGCTGCTGTAGGTTTTGTCATCCTTGTCCCCTGAAGAATACTGATGTTCCCGGTCCTCGTCGTACGAGCCTTTCACTTTGACCCTCTGGTCGATACTAGGCTTGGGTCCTTTGTGGTCGTGGTCTTCCTCATGGTGGTCTCCGTGTTCGTGGTCCTCCTCATGGTGGTTTCCATGGTGATCCTCCCCATGGTGCTCTTCCCTATGGGGACCTTTCTTACGGTGGTCCTTGTCTGCTGGAGGGTAGTTTACTTCTGGTTTGTACAGTCCCTGATGGTCTAAGCACCCGCAGACCGTATGGTTGTCGAATGAGACGTACTCCATCTCCCATTCGCCCTGAAAAATTAAAACTTTATTGAATTTCCTCTATGCGTTGTTTTGGGTATGTAATACACGGGAGCTTCGTGGTTTCGTTGTAAGTTATTGGAGTTGTTATGTTAGTCTTTGGCCTTACATGGACCATCTTAGTTAACATAAATCAAGCCAAGTAGGCCTAGAGATTACGATTTGCATAGTGAGAAATTTAGTATTAAATTTACCATTTTGTCTTGGCCTACCAGTGATGGCAAGCTGATTGAAAAATTATCGAAATTTAACTACTAAATTACCAAGTTGGCTTATGTTCAACTTGAAGGAAGTATAAAATTAAAACAAAGAAATTATCAATCGCTATCATGTAACATTAGGCCTACTCTTTTGATGAAAGATACACTGTCAATATATCCTATTGTTGAAGTTATAGCTGTAGTTTTAGCTTAAAAAAATAAACGGAGTGTGCTGCAAAAATGGAATTTATTTTCTTAAAAACTCAATTTTCAATAATGTGAACCCAAAAGAGTAACTTTTTATAGTATGAAAACTAAATTTTAAAATAATAACACCCCATGAGAGGCTTATTCACATTTTTCTGATGATGATGATGGTGGTGATAATTGAATGATAATTCCAAAATAATAGACATAAACCGCCCTAAGCCCTTTCATATTTTAAACACCTTTTCCCCTCATAGACATAAAGCATAAGAGCAGCAAAATAAGTTAGAGATTATGTAAGTTCAAGATCTAATCCCTGATATTATGTACACGTATCAATCTCTACTGCGACAATAGGTACCTGAATTGCTGTACCGTAATGTGAGTGCCCATTAATATTAGTATTTTACCTGGCGTTTAGGGACACTCACAAATTGATAAAGGTAGTTGTGTGCCATCTAAGGATATTCTAAATACAAAATTTCCCATCAGGCAGAATAAAAGATGTAGAGGCAGTAAAACATTCTAAATGTTTTAAAGTGGTCTACAATATGGTAACAAGTGTTGCTGGTATATTCACCTTGTGGTGTTCACCCATGTCCTCCAGGTAGGTGACCTTGAAGGGAAGATGTAGGCTCTCAGCATGGAGAGGACCACACTTCTTGGGTCCCTCGCAGCAACCAGCAAATACATCGCACCGGTGCAGAACCGTGTACTGCGAACATCAACAATGCTTTGTAAACGTTGTTAGAATTACAAGGTCTTACCAAAACTAACCTAAAACGCTAGTAGTTTACTAAGACGATGGCACTCTTCAGAGACGTATTTAGAAATGAATATGAAGGGAGCGCCATTTTATCGCCATGACATACTTATTTATTTATTTGAAGGTGTCGATCAAATGGCTTGTCGGTGAAGTGACTTCTCGGTCAAATGACTTGACAGTCGAGTGACTCGTCGATCAAATTGCATAACTACATGAATATGAATTTAGAATAATTGTAAATTGAGGCGTCGAGAGGCCAAGGGAGATATGTGACTTTTTAAAAAAGGTCATTGTATTTTTTTCATGGTCATAAAAAAATAAATAAAAATAAAAATAAATTCACTTATACCCCTTGGCTTCCAACTCTTAGGTGTTTAGTTTGGAGGCCAAGGGATATAAGTTAATTATTTGTTGAAATTCCACCCTTTTTTAACAAAACCCGTTACCATGACAACATTTTTTTAAAAGTCACATATCTCCCTTGGCCTCTCGACGCCTCAATTGGAGGTGATGAGGTGTACAGGGGTTTACCAGTATGAAACACATGTACTGTATTTAGTAAAAGCTCAAAAATCAAGCATAGCTGGGTCAAGTTTCAAACTATCCAAAAGATACTGAATTTTCTCAGGATTAATCTGGCAACTTATTCATTACCAAGCGTACGCTACATATCATTATATCAACTTCTCTAGTGGTGTGTTATTTTCTGAATTGTGTTTCCGTAAGCTAAATAAGGGTAATATACAGTAGGTTAAAAGATCCAAATTCAGTCCTCGTCTTTATAAATAGAAAGGGATATATATTTTGGTTAAAAATAAAATACGTGTTTAACGTAAAGGCCAACAATTATTGTTACCAATTACTAAATCTACAATTTTAAAAGGTACCTCAATCGTTTTTTACATTTTACAATATTCTTTTTCTATAAAATACTAAAACTTTTTGTAATATTTGACATTGTTGAATTAATTTGACAAACAAACACACACGTTTAGCTTTATGATATTAGTATGAAATACACTGTGACACGATAATAAACAGAAGTATGTTCAGTAATGATACAGAATTTTATAAGTTCTAAAAACACAAAACTGAAGCTCTTGACTGCAACCTATTTATTGCCCTAATGACCAAAATGATTAATTAAGTCCTGCATGTAACAGCAGTTTCCGCTGCATCATAGCGAAAACGAAATGAAAGCCACGTTTTTATAGTTTAAGCTTTATCCAACATACCTCAGGGAAGTAAGCTTTTCCTCGGGTCTGGTACGGAGACATCAGCTCATGCACGGGCACAGACCTAGCTTGGGGATGATGGCAGGAGTAGTCTGCTATGTAGGACAGATGTTGGTAATGTTCCCTGAGCTCCCTCTGATGCCGGGACTCCTCCACCGGCGAGGCGGAGGCGAGGGCGAGTACCAGGAGACACGCGACAGATGAGGTCAAAGCCATGTTGGAAGTCTACAGTGAACTGACCGGACCGGCAGTGCGGAGTGTTTTATACGTTTAATGGGGATTCCGCCGGTCTCCGGCGCGGAGGGGGCAAATTGCGGTATTTCCTGTCTTCGTTATATCGGTTTTTACATTTTAATCGGCGTTATTCATTACTGGTCAAAGAGTAAACCAGTTCTGGTGCTTATCTTGTTCCCAAGTCATTAACTTGAAGCATTCGTTAAAAAATTTACTGTCGGACTTTTGACTCTGACGTGTGTGAGGATTTATATGGTTTACTTTGTTTTGATTGTTTTTGTCCATTATTTTATAATTATCGTGACCTTGTCGCTATCCTCGTGCTTTGTGAAGACTGTGTGGTTATTGAAAATCTATCTTACACGCTTGCCATTGATTGTGGAAACTAAACTAAACTGTAGCCCTTAATTTTATACAATTATCTTTGGTATGTTTCCAACAATGGTGTGATAGAATATGTTGCTTGTATTGAGTTAGATCCGATTCACACGACACTGATATACCAGTCAGGTTAAATTAGTAATTTGTTGCTGACTGAGATTATCGGGGTAGCGGATTTTTATCCCCCTGGAATTTTACCCCCTGGGCAAACGAGACGTCACAAACCAGGGGTTAAAATTCCAGCCGCGAACTTTTGAGTTTCGCGACATCAGCTCGATGGATTAAACGCGGAATTGAACATATATTTTCACGGTTGTGAATTTAATCAGAACACATCAAATTATAAAAACCTAGAGTGTACGGCCCGGATTTTTACCCCCGGAATTTTACCCCCGGAATTTTACCCCCCGGATTTTTACCCCCGGAATTTTACCCCCCGGAATTTTACCCCCTGGCCAGATGTATAAATTAGTGAGAATGATTAATTTTCTTCATTCTGTTTTAATTTAATAGTAAACATTTTATTATTAAGTAGCCTTAATTAATTTCTTTGTAACATTAACTAAACGAACAGGTTTTTAGTTTTAACTTTGAGATTTTAGTATTAGGATTCGATCTTTGAAGCCAACAGTTGGTTAATATGACGTATAAACAATCAACTGAATGATAATTGTTTCGAACATTTCTTTACAAAATAAATACATAAAGATAGGTCACTAAATAATGAAATGTTTACAATTAATTAAAAATAGAAATGAGAAAATTAATCATTCCATTTCTAAAATCGGCTAGGGGTGAAATTCCGGGGGGTAAAATTCCGGGGGGTAAAATTCCGGTGATAAAAATCCGGGGGTAAAATTCCGGGGGGTAAAAATCCGGCCCGTACATCTTCAGTTGTCGAAACGCTAGTTATATAGGCAGGGGGTAAAATTCCGGTTTTTATCGCTAATCTAATTAATCACGCTCTGGCTATTTTCATTAGACTTCCAAATCCGCGGGGGTAAAATTCCGGCCGCGAACAAACTTTTGGCCACTCAAGTTACTACGTCATAGTGACGTCAGCTTTGCCCAGGGGGTAAAATTCCAGGGGGATAAAATTCCGGCGACCCAGATTATCTGGTGCTATAGTCAGGACTAGTCCAATGATCAGCTGGGTGTAGTTTTGACCTATGAAAAGCTTCTCACTTTTCCCTTCACCCACTCAGCTACCCAATGTAGTTGCTATCTCGTCCAACATTCAGTTGTCTAGAAAATAGTGCCATCTCGTCCACGTGAAAACTTGACAAGATTATGACTTCGGGTTTCCCTTGCCACCTATCAAAAGTTACAGTAGTAAAGGTTATATTATAAATTATGTCAAATACTGGACTTTTGCGTCACCAAACTTGAAATGAGTTTTAAGATCAAACCTTTCTAGCTATGTTAAAATTGGCTGAATACCACTGATATCGCTTATAAACTTACCATTTCAATGTTAAAGGTGATTGCGGGGTAAGATTCTGATGTGTTACACATTTTAAATGGCGTTGTGTACAATTTTATATTTACTATCTTTTCTACAAAAATACCCAGAAAGTAATTTTTATTCTATTATTAGAGTTACATTTCAGAACCTTCCACATCCCCCAGAACGTTAATATATTCAACACATGTTCACATGTTCAAAAATGTTCAAAAATGTTCAACACATGCTCATATGTTCAAACGTTGAAATTAAATATCTTTCACCATTCTGCAACCTCTATGATTGCTCAAATTCGCATCGATAAAATATTATTTAAATTAGGCCTATACGGAAACCCAGCTACATATATAACTTAGTCTACATGTAAACTATGAATAAAATAAATAAATATAGAAAATGTAAATATTGTGATTTTTAATTTTGTATCATGGATAGCAATTTATAATTACTACCAAAAGCACATTCAAAATTAAGACGTGTACTAAGACGTGTAGGGCGTAGCCCTAGGATATTTTAATACTGTACATGAATAGGCCTGTATGTCGTCTAGGTTCATGTATTGAAATTTGAACAAGGTTTTAACCTTTCGGTTCAGAAGATCTTGAGTTTACCCTAAACATAAACACTTGTACACATATAAACAAACCCCACCTCTTTTCTCTCATATATTTCAATAATGTTATGGCTCTTTAAGGTATAAAGTAAATCAGTTATTTTGATTGCGTCCTTATCAGAACTGAGAAATGACTCATGGCTGAGAGCAATAATTTTAAAATGAGAAAAAATTTTAAAATCCATATGTGTATGTGGCAGAATTAAAAGGTTAACTGAGGAAAAGTTAACAAACAAATAAGAAAAACTATTGTAAAAACTAACTTCCAGTATATTCAAAATTTTTTATGTGATTATATACAACACTTTAGTTACTTTTCGTGACCTTAGGAGTGGGTTTATCGGAAATCCCGAAATTCTTTTTGAAGTTTCGCATCGAAACGTTTAATTAAAATATGCGATAGATAGGTATGTGGCTTAGGGGGTTCTCAAACGTTTTTGATCCTTATTAACTTTATATATAGACGAAGGTACCCAATTGATAAGGTCCAAAACTTCTGTCCGAGGCAAAATGAATCCAGTGCAATACCCAATTACCCTTTCAAGATTATTTTACGATAAACTGATTTTAGATCTACACTATAAAGAGTGATTTCAATCAGGTCACAGTTGCCAAAAAGTATCATATTCCAAATATAATTTTATAAACTGTTTAGTCTCTTGTTTACAATCCGAGTGTGGTTAAACATTCAACTGAAGAAACAGGTGTTAAATTACAACTCAAATTTAAACAGCTATAAAGAACGTGAGGGGGCGAAGCCCTAAAGGAAATTACTTTTTTAATTACCAGTTATGTTTAGTAGTTGCGCTTGATCATAATGTTTAAAATGACCCCTTAATCGTAAAGATCGGTCAAGTAGGATGGCTGGAAAATGGACGTAACAGGCTGTGTATATGGATAAATAAATATATTGTGTCATTAGCATGTTTTATTGCTGTATCAGTAGTGCTGCAATGTAGTTGGCTTGCGGTGTTTTGTAGCACCTAAATAACAAACAATACTTGTACTATTCAAACCGAACGCGAAAATAACTTAAACTAGGTATTGAACTGTAAGTTCAAGTGTGTTCACCTTACAATATTTTTTCGAGTAAAATAAGACAGACATAATTTCATGGTAGGCTAATCTAAACATATAAAAGGCAAAGCCCTCACTGACTCACTCACTCACTCCCTCACTCATCACTAATTCTCCCACTTCCCATTTACCTAGGAGGCTGAAATTCGGTAAACCGATTCTTTGGGCATTAAATAGGAAAACTAAGTAGTTTTTATTCTGATCGGGCTTTCGGGCTCCGCCCCAGTGGCTCTGGAGATTCCCATGTTAACCTTATGATTTTTCATATTTAAAAGGAATTAATTAATCTTAACAACTATTTTAATTAAACAAGTTGGTTCTGTTCTATGATGTTCAATAGCATTAAAGTTACAAGTATTACCAACAGGGTGCAGCACTATTATTTTTTTATTTATTTATGAGAACAGCTAATTTGCAACCAAAAGGTGAGTGAGCGTAGCGAACAAACTTCAACCTGGAGGTGGGCGAGTTAGCGTAGCGAACGAGCCTGAAGGCAAGTGAGCGCAGCGAACGAGCTCCAACCTAAACGTGAGTGAGCGTAGCGAACGAACTTCAACCAGGACCCGATTGATCCATGCGAATACTTATGAAGTTAAACGGGGCAAAGCCCGCGGGTACAGCTAGTAATTATGTAAAACACTTATAATCTGCATTACGAAAGAGGTTCTTGCATTTTTGTGCCTCGTGAAGGTTTCTTCTCGTCAACTAACAAATTGACAAGCCTTTGGTTGGGGAAACCGAAGAAGACCTACATTAATTATGTATCTTTGTCTTTGTTTGGCTCAACAGATATTTAAACGTCACACGCGATCGCCAGGTGGTCAAGCGATGTTCCCAGAATAATCACAAAGGTCGAAGAACTCTTGCCAAGGATGGAGTCTTCGCCCCCGGAGCGTTCTGACGTCACGGCACTCTTAGCTTACTGTGGTTCTTGGTATGTGACGTCAAGGGTGAAGCAGTGGTCACAGTTGTTTAGGTAGGATTAGAAAGTTGTTTCTCCAAAACTAAGTAAAAACTATGACTGTTTCGGCTGGCTTTGTTAGTTTGTTATGGCGAAAACCTTATAAAATGAATAATTTTAAGAGTAAGATTTTAGCAAATTTCAGACATAACTTGCCTAAAATGTTCTTTTGGTTTAGTATTTTTATAAATGAAACTCCACCAGTTCAAATTGGGTAACACATGGTTGATTCTAGACAAAAATTAACATTACATTTTAAAATATTGTAGGTGGATTGAATAAGATAAGTCTGGATATACAATATTTTGGCATTTAGAGCCTATCTAGTTTGCATTTTTCCAAAAAAAATGTCAAGTGTTATTTACATTTGATTTTAGCTCTTGATCGTTAAGCTTAATTTTTCATCCCACGTGTGTTAATAATTCTATTCCTAATAAATTACGAAAATAATATATTTTTCTAATCGTCAAATTATTTTGGAGTATGGAGTTACATTTTATGATTTTAAGGATGGGTAAATTTTTACCACGATTTGATGTTGTGAGAAACATCAAGTTATTCTCAGTTTGGAATAACTTGAATTGGTATATTTTCACCAACATCCTAGAAATTCACTATC